TCATGTTTGTAATTTGCGGCACATTATTCCGTACTAGCTGTCACCCAATCACACCTTCTTAGTTGACAGCGTTGGCCACCCACAATGTTCTTGTTAGGTTTCGGATGTTGAGTTTTCCTCCCACCACCTCGTTTTGAAGTGCAAAGTCTTATGACCTAATTCAAGCACCCACTAGCTACTGCTAAGGCTCAGGGTACCGGACATGCCACTTATCATCTCTCATCAGCATGTGGGATGCTTGCGAATTGTGGTGCCGATAATCTTTGAGTTTAGGGATTCAAACCCATCATCCACATCTGGGGGCTGTAAGAAAGTACTCGCACTTGTCGGAAGGTTTGGTGCTTGGGGGATCATCAACTCCGTCTTTAATTGAAATTCGGATCCAACGTATTTCATCACAGTTTGAGCTTCTTGTGAGCACGGTGTCTGTTTGCCATTTGTAGGTTCTAATGTTGCAAACTGTTCCTTTCGTATTAGGACTATGGGTTCTTGTATTTCTTGCAGGTCTTGATCTTTGAGTACTCATGTTTTTCAAGTTTCTGACCTCTTATCGAGGTTTCCTACTCATCATATCTTTTCAAGCGCTTAATTTGCCACGCGTCACTGCTGTTAGCTGGCACTCAGTCAGCTCGCTCAGGGCTTAGTGTGTCTACTGCCCACACCTCCTTGTCAGAAACAGGGCGTATAGGGTTTGTAATCCACCAGCTGTTAAGTATTTGGGGGCACCGGATATGCCATTCATCATCTTCATCAGAAGTTGGGATGCTTTGGACTCGGTGAACCATCTTGGGGCTTCAGGTTGAATCCATCATTTCTCTGGAGTCTAGGTCGTGGCACTATCACATACCATCAGATGCCTCAAAATCAAGACCCAACCTTTTTTTAGGTTTTGAGCTTCGTGTGAACCAATTATGACGGCTAGAGGTTTGTGGTACCTGACTTCCGAACCACCTACTTCAGTCTAGTTGCTAGTGTTCTTTGAATTTCGGTTCCTCCGACGCCTGGCATGGAACAGATCAGCACTAGCCACTTGGATGAAGGCTGACTACATGTCCAGTGCTCTTAGTCATAACATGTTAAAGCTTCGTTGTGGAAGAACAAATTTAACCCTCATAATATGTGGGGGATGCCACCCATCATTTCCTCCAACGTTTGGATCATAGTTCCTGAACGATTTGGTCTTTGACTACCATTTCGTGTGAAAGTTCGAAAACTGCTCCTAGCCCATTTGGTATATCGAGCAACCTTCAAGCGATGATTTTCTTTCAAATCAGGTGTTTTGGGTAGGGCCTTGCAGGCTCAAGTTTGGAGGCCTCGGGGGCGGGAAGGGGCAAAAAAAATAAAGAAACAATAAATCAGTCGTCCAACCTCCCTCCCCCCCTCACCCCCGGGCTCCAAGAATACAAGCCTTCAGGTCCGGAGACCTCCAGCTTCTAGGTCCCGGATGCGATGGGCCTCCGGGTTTAGTTCCGCACGCGGCTGGACACCTCAGTTCCTTTGCAATTGAATTGATGGTAGACTTCTCCCAGAATTCGAAAACCCGGAGCCTTTTCGCGTTCGACCAATCTTTATTCATCAGGATAAAAGACAAAGAGAGAGAGAGAGAGAAATACACATATATATCAAAATACATAAATGGTCCAACACGTTGCCCGTACTTCGACGCCTTTTTCTTATATTGAAATTAATTCAGTATGACATGTAATTATACTTAGATGATACAAACTTTTTCATCAATGGTGATTTCCAGTTTTGTTAGTACTGCAGAATAAGCTGTAGAAAGAGTAGTATTGCTATATGATTGTGTGAATGTATTATGCAGAACTTATATGGCTAATATACCAATAGACAACTATTTTAGTTATGGTTATTGTTTTACGCTAACAGGGAATCCCCGAGCTCTCCGCAGCCCCCTGCACCCCACCCACCCACCCACCTACCCACCCACCCACCCCGCCCAGGGTAAAGCGCCCCACCGAATTTAACAAAATTCCTGCTCGATCCGATGCACAACCAGAACCAAGCTGCCACCATGCAGGCCCGCGCATACGCATCTGCGCTGAGCCACCTAAGAGCCGTGAGGAAGCTCTTGTTGTTCGTGACTCGCGCGCAAGGGAAGTGTAAAGCCGGGATCTACCAGCACAGGCCAGCAGACTGCCCACGCTCGTAGAGCCACCGCCGCAAGTGTTTCTCGAAGTCCTGGTCGTCGTCATCCTGCCACCATTCCACAGCCATGTTTTTGTCAGCGCTATTGCGGGACCAAAAACCTCGACAGCATCTCGTCCTTCTCGCCGTTGTCGGATCCCCAGTCGTTGAATGTGAGACCTCGCACTACCTTCTCTGGCTTTGAAGTCGGCGATGAAGCAGAGTCTGCCTGACAGCATTGATTCAATCTTTGAGTCGAGCACCTTTGGTCTAAACGACCACAACTGCCAGGCACCACTACGCGTCACCTCGAAACAGCACTGAATGCTGGCTGGGAGGATAGCCCGAATGGCCATGCACCACTCCCACCTTGTGAAAACTAATACTCTGCCAACCACTTATGTCATGACACACTGTGTCGTAGCACCGCATCAAAAACAGCCCCCCGCAGGAACCCTTCGAAACATCATTTGTACCGTGACCAGCGACGAAAGCAGCAAATTTGCCGCTGGCAAAGCCGCGCTACGAAGATGAATCATGCATGAAATGGTGTCATCCAAAACGCCTCATGTAACGAGTCGGCCTCCAGCTCTTCCTTCTTGAGCTCTCTAAGAAGCTCCTTCCACACACTGGACTGTGACAAAGCCTGGGTGTTGCTTTGGCCCAGGCCTGGCCAGTGAATTCACGGTGTTCCGCCTGCGGAACAGCAACGTGACATTTCTGCCAGACTTGGCTTCAACAGCTATGCTCGAAAGGCCTCTCCCTCGGCGTGGAAAATCTTGTTCTGCATCTTTTCCAAAGCCTTGCTCGCACGAGCTGCTCCTCGAGCTGAAGAGCTTGCAAACAAGGTGCTAGAGTGTTGCTGGGTGCCAGGCACCCCCCGGGATGAAAAAGGGCACCTTGATGAATACATGCAGGAACAAGCCAGGATGTGGTTCATCCAACTGCCACACCCCCCAAGCGGATTGCGCCTTTATGCGTGAGATATCCTCATTCTTGGGCAGAGACAGCCTGATGCACTTCTGCCGGCAGCCGCAAAGGTCAGCTCGGAGCAGCGACTCGGATTTTAATGTGCAAACACACCCGTTCCACAAAACAAGCTACATAAACAGCTGCACATGACTCGATGATCGGCTCAGCCCATCATTGTCTCCAGGGCTAGGCCGCTAGGCAGCTCTGCAACGCTCTGTCGGCTGCACATTGATGCAGCAGCGGTCTTCTTAAAGTCTTAAAGCTCACCTCGGCTATCTTCTGTAAGCTCCATCTCGAAGAGCAACACAAGCGCTCCATCCGTGCCACCCGTGGCCTCCAGCAGCAACGGGCCCTTCAACTCGGCTGCGTCATGTCGCTGCATGACATAGTTGTCACTACCACCAGCATTCAAGTGAACCTCTCCCTCAACGCAAAGAAGATAACCTTGACGGCCAGCATTGAGGTAACGGGGCACAGCCGTGCCTGGGGTAAGCTCGGAGATGTACATGTTGCAGTCCTGGCAAAGTGCAATCACTGGGTTGCTCTCTCGGCACACTTGCGCAGCGCTCAATAAATCCGGGTCGGGGAAAAAGTCCACAAAAGGGTAATGAGGCGGAAACACGAAAGCATGCGGGGAAAGGGGAAAAGCAAAAGTGGGAGTCGGAGAATCGCAAACAAGCTGAGCGAGAGTTGGAAACCATCGTGTTTCCCCATACAATGCGAGGCATTGCCGACGGCCGATGGTCAAAAACACGAGGAGTGAGTGGTTGTGGGAGAATCCCAGGGGGGCTCAAACTCTGCACCGAATGGAAAGGGGGGCAATGCAACTCCAAACGGAAGGACTGATTCAACGGCGTCTAGCTGCAGAGTGCCCCACAAAGCCCACATCCCACAAGCCTAAAAACCAATGACCCACTCAAAATGTAACTGGTTGCATAGCCCCCCCATCCCTGAAGTGTGTCACTGGTTCTAAAAAACCAAAGCGAGCGCTGCAGAATAGCGAATGACTGCCTCCGGTTTCCGAAACACAAAACTCTGGATGGAGTGACTGTTCGTTAAGAACCCGGCCTAAAACGAACCACTGGTTCACAAGAACACTGTGACAGTGAAACCGTAGAACAGAGGGTCGAACCCCAACAATCCAAAAGATTTGATGCTGTCGACAGAAAGGGTGGCTGTTTTCGAAAATAGTGCCGAAAACTTGTTCATAAAACCCGAACCCTTTTCTTTTCGGGTAGAATGGGTGGGCAAGGCCACAATTGAAAGCGAGTGCTGCGGAATGCCAAAACGTCGGAAGGAGTTGGTCTTCAGCACTCGCCCCGGCCGGCGAGGTTTCGGAGTTGTGCCGACTCTCCCGGGAAACCCCAACCCTGAAAAAGCGAGCGGTTGCAAAATGGTGAGTCGCTCCAAGTCGTCCCGTTCCGGTCCTACCTGCATATCATACGACTGCATTTGCCAATGTACAACCGACACCAAGGCATGGAAAGCTGCTCACAGGTTCTGAAACTTAACAAGCATGCCACGCCACCCCCGAGAAAACAATAAATGTCCTGGTTGATTTTGACGGGATATTCACCGCCTTTCAAATCATCACCGACTGCATGAAACCATCCGTTTAGCCTCTGTCGGCCTGAAGTTGCATCTCCCGGCAAGGAGCCATAGGTTGGGGGAGCCCCACGCACTCGTGGCAGAATCCAGCACTGAATGAAGCGCAACGGCTGCTCGTCTAGGTTGTGCTCCGAATGGACCACGCCTGTCCCAGCTGTCATGAACTGGATGCTTCCGCGTCCAAGCGTCTCTTCCGCGCCTGTGGAGTCTTTGTGAGTAAGAAATCCGTCCACCACAAAGGTAAGAATTGCCATGTCTCGATGTGGATGCGGCCCAAAGCCACGCAATGGCTGTACCAAATCATCGTTCATGACTCTGAGAACACCGAAATTGTTCGGCCCATGACCATACTCAGCAAAGCTGAAATGGAAGCGCGACTTCAGCCAGTTCTTCTGCGACCAGTTGTGGGATTCTCGCATTCCAGGACTTGGATTTTCGGGATTTCCAAAAAGTTCAGGGGGCGGCTCGCTCGTGAATAGGCGTTGCTGCGGCACCAGATTGACCGAACCAGCACATTGTCCAGGTCCAGATAGGCAAATGGAGCCCTTGGGCAAAACCAAAACCAAACATCCCAGAAGGACAGCATTAGCAAGCAGCTGAGCAAAGGCCATGAGCTGTAATGCCACGCGTAATTAAATGGAAAAGCAGACTAGTTGGGTGCTTTAGCATTGGGCAAACATTTGTGAACTATTCTACATCAACTTAAAGGTGGCAACCTGCCTCAGGCATCATGTTTGTAGCAAGCGGGCAAACGGCGGAACATGTAGGCAAGCATGTTCTCCCACCGTTGGCACCCAGATGCAGTGTAACGATATCTCGCACCCTGCAAACGCATTCCAAACACAAGCACGCATTCCAATTCGGCCGTTTGACCCATTTTGGCTACAACAAACGAACTTCTCGATTAACCTCAGATTTGCATGTCACATCCACAACGAGAACTGCACACCGCGCCTCGCAAAGTTGATTCGCAATCTCGTGCCCAGCGACTGCAACAAGAAACAACAAAGATGCTCGCTCTAAGCACAGTGGGTTTTGGACAGCATAGGATTGCTTTTCAAGTGTCCTGGCAAGTGACGGAACACATCATCGCGAACCACAAGGAAAACAAGAGGTAGCCGACCTTGAAGGATCAACTGGCATTCCGAAGACACTGCAGCAGCTTGGTGCAATCATGGGCCCCAAATTCCGAACAGCCGAGGTGCAGAGCTGAAGCAGGAGATAACGAACACAGTGGAATACCAAGGAGGCCAGTACTTGACGTCAGGCGCGGCAACAATGTCACCTCAAGTCTGAGCATGAAGCTATCAATGCAAATCGAACTTAGGATGTCGAGAGCTTAATTTAATGTAACGCACTCCAAGCTTCTGCTAGTTATCCACTGCAGGGCGAAGGTCAGCAGCAATGCGCCGACGAGGTTGTACCTGAAAAAATGCCGAGTGTCACCTGTGATAACCAGTCGTAACCACAAACTAGGGACCCGGCATGTCCATCCGTCCTCCAATATCCATGACGCATGCTGTGAACTTGAAAAATGTTGCATTCAAGTCCGATAAGGACACAAGCAAACAAGAAAGTTTTGCATCTGCTCCTATGGTAAGCCCCATCAGATCGTTCAAGTCATCGCGGTGAAGGCTCTGCCGTTGGACCTTTCCATAAAAAAATATTCCATGATGTGGGTGGCTCTGATCTTTCTTAGAAGGACCTGGCCTTGTAATCGATTCGGTCATGCTTCCTGTGGGGACACCCTTTCAAGACTGAACGATTGACAACCTCGACACAACTTCAGCCACCTTTGGAACGATTGGTCCACTTGCGCACCGCGTCCCGAAGTAGCAAGTCCTTGCAGGCTGGCTTCGAAATCCAGCAGCATGTGGCCTGCTGCCAGAACACGTTTCGACTAGTGGAGATGTGCGCCTGAGGTCATGCCCACGACATCCCAATTGGCCGTGGTAAAAGCTGCGGCACCGCCCAAAAGGCCACCCGCAATTCCAGTCAGCGTCTCGGCCATTTACGAGCGCAACATCCACATGCTTAACCACACCACTGGCTGCCGACTGACCAAATTCTGCTAAGGCACCATGGCGAGCAGCTGCAGGTCTTCAAATGGCCAAAGCAAAACTACGAGACCAAGACGGGTGTGCTTCGTGCACCATTGGTTCTCCGCCAGCGTGTTTGCCTGAATGTATTTGAGTTGCCCGTTGAAGATTGAAATGCCTGCGAATCAGTCCGACCAGGTCCGACCTGCAACCCTTTTTCTGTCCACTTTTTTAGACCTATCATCGTCAACATTTCCATTCAGAATTGGGGTTGGTAGCGGAAGGGACCGTGTAAGCATCTGCCCAGAGACTTCCAGAGTCAACCTAACATCCTCATGTTGTGATCACAAACATCGAAGCACGGTCGCAGGTCGCTTGCACTTGTCATGCAACGAAACGCATGCAGCTTGTGGTTCGGGAAGGACAAGACACATCCGCAAGCATCAGAACGGCTTCCAAAGGTTTTGAGGTGTCAAGTCCCTTTCAAGCTTTCTGGAAGCCTTCTTCAGAAGGTGCGGCTTCAGGTGAAGTTATTTCTTCGGCGTTAGCGTTTTTACAGTGCTCACGGCTCTGTTGCCGACGAAAATCGAATTGATGTGTGCTTGCTTTGTTGTATGCCGAATGAATACTCGGCCTATTCACAACATCTTCAGACAAACCCCATGATTGGATGGTGGTCTGACACTTGCCACAAATTCAATCCTGAGAAAACAGGAAAAGAATCCTTCATCGATTCATCAATCTTCACGGCGAAAACTGCAACCGCAACCATTCGGGACCAAGCAGATTCAATGTTAGTGACGATTGTGATCCCGCAACATCCTTGAGAAAGGCGGGCCATTGCGAGAAGAACTCGAGTCTGTGGAAGTTTTCGGATCTATTGGGGGGGCGCCGTTTTGAGACGGCGAGGGGCTCGAAATGTGGGTTATCGAAGCCAAACGAAAAGTTACCGTCTTCATGTATCCGCTTCTGGATAGGTGCCTGCCTGAGCACCACGTAGGATCTTTACAGAAGGTTGAAATGGTCCAATTCACAAGTGTCCTACTGAACATGAGCAAAAATAACTTGAAAGCTCGGGGCTGGTCTGGTGGGGGCCAATGCTATGAGATTTTGGGGTCACGACCCCGTTGTAGATTGCAATAAATGCGCCAAAGGGTTGAGCGTTTAGCGTTGTTGTCGTCAGAATGGGACCTAAACCACTACACGATGATGCTTGTCAAGCGGTGTCTTGAAAACTCGCCTTGATCGGAAAAGAAACTGGCATTTCCTGTTTCTTTCCTCGTGAGACTGACGGATCTCATAATCCACGATGCTTGAGGTTTAGAAAGCTTAGGCTGGTCGCCATGGGCCGCGAAACCCTAAAAAGAGATGGTGGTTGACAAAAGCGGACCGGGCCGCGAAACCCTAAAAACAGATCTTGGTTGACCCAAAGTCTAAGGAGCTGGTGTTGACAAACCCGGAAGCCTAAAGGAGATACTAAAACCTTCAAGAACAAGGAATGGTTGGGAAACCACAAGACCTAAAGCTTGCAAAGCCCAACGTGCAGTTTGCACTACACACGACATGACTTGACGCACAAACCGCAGCCCAGCCTCGAGCTCCGAACATTGCATGGCACTCATGCCCAGTCTGTGACCGGCTCGAACTCGAGAGCTGCCCTCAAGACGTCCCCCGCTCAAGGTGTCTCGGCGTTCAGCCGTGGGGCCCAGGAGTTTTATCGATAACGTACTCGTGGGCCTCCATACGGCCCTTGGCACCCGAAAACCCCGAACGTCGGGAACAGGCTCAAGGGTCAACCTGTGGCCCTACACGTCCTTCACGCGCAAGCTCAAGGTGTCTCGGCGTTCAGCCG